TCTGACTCTGACTTGATTAAAAGCTGTTGTGGTATTCTACATTGAAGTCATTTTTTTTATCGGTAACACTCATTGGTTTGGATTAACTGTATCCAATTTTTCATTGTCAATAAATGTCATATAAAACAATTGGTTGTTCACTTTTTGAATGAAATTACATTCAAGATTGTTATGATATGAAATTCAATTAAATGGGGTAAATCTGGTGTAATTAAACAACCTTTTCAACACCAAAAGTTGTTGTTTGTCATTATACACAAAGGGTTGTCTGTGCTCTGCCCTCCACGGGTATTGGAATCCGGTTTCTAGCATTACAAGTTCGCAGACATATACCGTTTTGCCACTGGGGGGGTTTCAGCATCAAGAGATTTGTTTGCCATAACAGGCATGCTTTACATAGATAACCCCGAAGAATTCATGGGTTTGAGGTTTTAATATGATAAGACTGAAGAATGACTCTATTATACTATAATTGTATTGTCAGTTCTGCTGTTCGTGTGTGTGTGTGAAAACTAAATAGTGTAGATTGTATTGTAAACAAGCATAACATCATATATATATAAGGACTTTCGTGGCTGTAATCTTTTTTGTGGTTTTGAAACACACGCAAATATCAATCGTTCGCAAATATTCATGGGCTCACAGTAGTACGATGTTGCAACTTGACGTATAATATTGACTAGTGGGCACGTGGGGGATCTGTCACGCGAACGCGTATTCGTGTCATTAAGCTTTCTCGTGCTACAATTATGACGTTGCTTAGAAACTGTTATATACTGTAGTAGCTTGAACTTAGCATGTTCAGTAACACTGAACTGACGCTACAAATACAGTATAATGGGGGAAATCTTATGTAAATTTTATAAGAGGCTATGGAAAAAGTCTTCCGCGATCGAACAAAAGCAAACGTCCAAAAAGAAGTGACGGCAATATGGAGAACCCCGAAAAAACTTCATTTGACTTGAATACAGATGTAAAAGCCCAACTTGATACATGGCGAAAACTTGAATTAAAGAGAAAGGGGACACTCACGTCATTTTGGTCAAAAGTAATTTGTTTGTGTACGGTTTTGTCGTACTAAGTGAATTACGACATTTTGGGCATTTTAACTCTAACGATATGATGTACGTTTAAGCCTATGGATCTACGTGTAATAACTTGTTTATTTTACAGAATTTCCAACTCCGACAAACACAGTCAGGCCCTCAAACAATAAAGCAGGAACCAACGATGAAACTATCGTGAAAGATATAGCTGCAAAAGTAACACACAAAAGTAAAAGTAGGACGAAACTGAACAGAATATGATTGATATTAGGAAGAAAATCACATTGTATTGTCAAATAAAATATGCCGCTATGTTATCTCACTATGACAATCAAAAACTTGAAAAGCTCCAAACTGACCTCAATGAAAAGAAACAAAAACTGAAACGTTAGCAGGCAGAAGCTGAGCGTCAGCGTAAGCACTGATTAGAGTTAAAAACAAAAATTGGAAAGCTGGTCGAATTAACTCTGAGTTGACGAAATTCAGCAGAGAACAAAAGGGAAGACCCTCAATTGACGTGGATCAGCCTGATACATAAATTGAAGGTCTTCCTCTTTGTTCTCTGTTGTTTTGTTCTGAGTTGTTGAATGCTATCCGTGAAATCGCATCTATGGGGGCAGCGGCAGATGATCAACTCGAAGCAAGAAACTCAAATTATGTACAACTCTTGACGACTTATCTGAAACGATTCAACAAATGGTTTTTGTGCTTAGCCGTAGCACAGTATATCTAAGACTCCAACTATGCACAAGTGATACAAATGTGGGAAAACTTCACGTAAACATAGTTTCACTAAAATTTGTGTGGACCCAAAACACATTCAGATACACAAATTTGCATTTGCCTCACACAGCTATATAATTGACATATGATCATGGTTCAGTTCAGATGCCACTGCATTTCTAAGTATTGAAGACAGTGCACGTGTCTCTCTGGGTCTTACTGTGGCAAGTGCCTAAGCAACAATCTTGATGCATATGGAATATAAAGTGTGCTTTTCAGACTACGATTTTACTATTGAAAGAGGCATAAACTTATACCATCATTTTATGCTGCGTGCGACATAAAGCCCAAACTTATTCCTGTGCACCCACTTATAGTGGACCTGCATCCATGCGCGTGACTATGAGAATCTTCTTGGCCAGGAATCGTTCATAACCTTCCTGGAGGATTCTGCTATGGGTGATGTCAAGCCAATTCGCGCTCTCATGCAGTGTCGATGGTGGATCAAATGAAAATCATAGATTTCCCAAAACTCTCGTAATTAGAGTAGAGTGTTTCAGAAACCATAACTTGGATGTATATGTTACACTCACTCACGCGCCTGGTTATTCTGTCTATAACTGAGTAGAAAGAAGAATAGCACCACTTAGTTGTGAGCTGTCAGGTTTAATCCTTCCGCTCGACAGTTTTGGATCTCATCTAGATGGTTCAGGCAAGACCACTGATCCAGAAGTTGAAAGAGCCAACTTCAAAAAGGCTGGTGAAATACTCGCCGAGGTATGGTCAACGGTGGTGATTAATGGTCATTTAGTTAACACAGAGTATGTTAGTGTTGAGAATTTGCGGCTTGAAGTAAACGCGCCAGATGATGCTTGGGTAGTAAAGCATGTGAGGCAATCACAATACTTGCTTCAAATAGTTAAATGCAGTATCCAAGCTTGTTGTAGAGAATGTTACACAGAATGCTAAAGGAATCAAGATACCTAAACTTGAAGATTTCCTGGAACTTGAGCAGACTGTATTTGCAACTCTAGGTCAAAGACTCACATTAGGGCATGTGATGCAAAATGCAGCAAAGAACGCATCTCTACATGGAGAGATTCCGTGTGACATGTATTGCCTAAAGGTTCGTATTGAGGTGTCGCGAAGAATAGGCAAAACATGTGGGATATATTGTTTATCGATTACTTCCATGAGAAAACGTAGTCGTACTCATAAACAAAGTTCAGAGCCAGACGAGGCCTTGAAGGACCGTGAGAAAGACTTCGATCCATCTTCTGACCTAGTCATGAATCCCTTCCACAAGACCAAGTAGTCGCAACAAAAACACAAATGCCTGTGTTTTGCAATTGATTAAAAGCAATAATGTGTCCTTGTGACGACAATAATAAGTAGAACTAGATTCATTTCATTTTGGGGGGAGGCTTTACATATTACCAGTATTGTTTTTATATGTTTTGGTTTGATATTGTCAGATTCTCTGTTGTTTGAAAAAAATACAATTCGAAAATGAAATAACAAAATCACGAACAATCAAGCACACATAGAGAAAAACTAAACGCGCTTGGTTCACGATCTTGTTACATTCATTAACAGCTCATCTGCTTTCTACTGTTTAACTTCTTCTCCTCTATAATGGTCAAAATATATTTCACTAACCTATTAATAACGTGCAAGGTTTACATATTACAAGGCGGTTGCTACATTTAAATTTCGTACGCAGGTACAGGGGAGGGAGTTGAAAATCACGAAAATTTTGCGTACGCACTAAATGGAGATGGCCCCCTAACAGACTTTTAAAAACTGTAAACGAGCAAGTTAGGCTACGAAACTGAAGAATTAGTGTAGTCCACTTACCAGCACTTTATATTGTTTGACTGGATTAAATGATAAATCGTATTACGAAAACACTTCATCTTGATTTTAACTATATATTGACTAGTCCTTGAAACTTAACCTTAATAAAAAACTTACATCTAATTTTATATATGTTGATATCTACGGCTAGGGCGAAGTCTAGACTTAAGCGTATTTCATGTTATTTATTTCTATTTTAATTACACGGTTTGAACTTCGAGTTTTTAGAAGATATTCAAACTATTCTTTAAACTAAAACGTGAAAGGTAATGTGTGAGATCAAAATTGCTTGTTTTCTTACACAAGAAGTACGTTTAAAATCGTCTATATAATAACACCCGCCACATAAACTGTGTACTAACACTCCAATTTTCTTGTTTCAAGAAGAGACACAACGGGACGAAACGCTTTCTTATGTACCTTATCTTGCTTTAGCAGTCACGTTTCTTGAATATGTGTACACACACACACACACGTGCGCAGGAGTATTTTATAGCAAAATCGTACTGGTATATCACCCTGGCCATCACACTAGTTTAAGTATGAAAATATTTCATTAATAGTTATTCTGGAAAAATCAAAGGCTAATGGTTACAGGACGGGTTATATTCATTCCTCTAGAATCAAATAAAATTGCACATCGATATAGGAAAACAGGTTGAACCACATACATCAGTCAGCTGGTCCAATTTTACAACATGTTACACATTTCAGGAATAAAACTGGTTTCACGAGGTTCATGGAAAAATTTATAAATATAGAAATTAAACTTGAACCAACTGAAAGGAATTTTATATTTACAGGAACCTAAATGAGGTTAAGTGAACAACAACAACAAAAAAAAAACGTTATAATTTACTAGGGAAGTGTAATATCACACTCACCCCTGTAACTAAGCATATTATGTGCTGCAAATACTATTGCCTAGTATCCAACCCCAGTTTATAATGATTATGCGATTGAAGCCACGAGGTTGGGTTGATCTGTAAGTTTATCTTCTGTGTTTCAGATATTTTTCTCATTTTTTTTCTTGGTTTTTACGTTGTTTTAACTTTCTTCTTTCGTCACTTCTCCTTCTTCAATATTCCTATTAATTCGTCTTTTCTCGACTTGTACTTTGAGCAACAGAAAAACATGGATTACTCCAAATGAAATTGTAGAGACATTTGGTTGTTTAGGCTCTTCTTTTCTTTTCAAAAGTAAAACCGAAACAATAATGATTGCACTTGATTTGCTGACTTGAAGGTAATTGTTGTCTTCTAACATCAGCTTACATGACTGAAAACGCTCACTGGCCTTTATTATTAATTAAAAACAGCAAAGTGAATCGCTGTATGACTTAGTCTTTTGATCCGAACATTTTCTCTAGAAAGCTCACTTGCTACGATCCCTCAAACGTAGTTTGATTGGTTCGTTTGGAGTTGTAATCATTCTCATAATAATTCCCACATCTTTTTTATTAGCAGACACCAGATGGAAATTTTGAATTACCTGTAGAGACAAGGGAAAACCAATAACTTACAGATATGTAAATTTATGTTATAATAAGAGATTGTGTTACAACTCTAATTAATTCATACACAAACCACCTGATAAAATGTATAAATAGAAAAAATAACACTCGACCAAGTAAATCGCAAAGAACGTTTTCATATTGTGTAAAATTTTATATACAGAATAATGGAAAATAAAGGTACTTTTATTAGACAAAACAGTAAAACTAACATTATCCAGTTCAGTTGCATGGCTTACTTGATAAGTCATTATTCTGGTACGAAACCCTGGCTGTCTACGTTTAATTATAAAGTGAAGAACTCACTATTGTATTGCTACTTACTCTTGCAAGAAGAAACTGCATCTGCATTTCTGCCACTCGACGACCAATACAGGATCGGGTGCCAAAGCCAAAGGGTAAGCATGCAAATGTATTAATGACGTCACGAGAGTACCGATTCCGTAGCCATCTGTCAGGTTTGAAATTACCTGGCTCTGGGAAGAATGTAGGATCCCTTCCAGTTGTATACAGAGACATCAGAATAAGTTTCTGGAATGTTTACAATTCTCTATTTTCAAAGTATTGTAATATATTATACCTTACAATTTACCACTAGTATTTTACCTTTCATGACAAAATAATGGATCATATGAATAAATAATATTTCTAAAATCATGCGCTTTAGTAGATTTTTCGTTCTTTCATTTAACATTGTCTTGAGATGTTGATGAAACTTGAAGTTTCCAGAAATCAATCGGATGATTTAAAATAAAAAAAAAAGATCAAGGCTTTTAAAATAATATTATTTCACCTATTTCTCATTAGAAGTGGAATAATGTTTTATTTGCATTTCCTGCACTTCTTTATTGGAAAATTGACAGAATATGTTTCGTAGTTAATACACCAAGTTTTTTATGTGAAAACGACGTTTCAGTTTTAGGCTACATTATTGAAGGTAAACGCTTTTATAACTTTGAGATGATTTTAGTTATATTGTGTCAAAAACAGATGGATGTATTAAAGTCCCTTTGATAGCAATGTAGGAACAAAACCGAGTTATAATTAAAGGATTCCTGACTAGCTGACAGCGTTCAAGGTGCTATTTTGGTGATAAAGTGTTGAAATATAATGCATACCTTTTACCGCAACTTTAGCTTTGAAAATATATTTATGAACTATATTACAAACAATATTGAAACATTATATGTTTGTTTGTTGTTTTAATTTCGCGCAAAGCTAGCCGTCCCTAATCTAGCAGTGAAAGACTAGAGGGCAGCACCTAGTCATCACCACCCACTGCCAATTCTTGGGCTACTCTTTTTACCAACGAATAGTGGAATTGACCGTCACTTTCCAACGCCCCCATGGCTGAATGGGCGAGCGTGTTTGGTGGGACGGGGATTCGAACCCGCGACTCTCAGAATGTGAGTCAATCGCCCTAACCACATGGCTATGCCGAGCCTGAAACACCACATGCTAGGTAATATTGAATTGGTCCTCATAAAGTTTGCATGTAAATTCCATGGTGTACTGCTGGGTAAGGCTTATAAAGTTCATTTGTTACTACAGGGACCCATTTGTAGCAAATAATTCACTAGGAGTTCATAGATACGGTAGTTATGGTTTTAGTGTTCCATACATTTGCGCATGTCTAATACCTCTACTACTATCTAAACTCATTGAGGATAATATATTGAATAAACGGGAAAGTAGTGGAAGTCAAATTTATAATTTTCAAGTGATTGCCAAAAATTAAACACTCCTCGATCCATGTGAACTTTGAAACGTATTGTGAAACGAACGGTACACTTCGAGCTAAACTTCATCATGTAGAACATTAATGAGAGTTCAAGACAGCAGGTGTGTGCCGGGAACAGCAATCCACCTACTCTAACAGATAACACTTCTGTCCATACGCCGCTCTTTTCGTCCTTAATGCAAGGTATTTGGTTTCTTTTGCTTTGAGAGTCTGATTTAGGAGGAAGTTTTTGTTCAACTTGGGGATGATGGTGGGTAAAACGAAATACGCGGCCTAGATAACTAATGAATGAATATTTGCTATAAAACTCTTATCAATGCTATAAGTGTAGTTACTAGTTTGGCCACCAATTTTGATTTCATTTCTTTAAGTCGCACACTCAATCCTTTTTTGGCATCATCTTTTTTTTTTTTTTCATACCTAAGGTGTTTTTCATTAGATATCATGACTTTTTGTCAATACACACCAACAAACCACAGCAAATAAAAAAGTGATTCTCGATACTAACCAACATAGACGTACGAGGTGGGGGCTGGAGGTGGCAGCCCCTAGCTTGCAATACATACGGCCATTCGGGCAAAATTAGAAGCAGAAAATATGGTGATTCGAGCAATTTTTAAAATCATTCAGGAAAATGTTTGTTTATTACGGATTTCGCGCAAAGCTACACGAGGGCTATTTGCGCTAGCCGTCCCTAATTTAGCAGTGTAAGACTAGAGGGAAGGCAGCTAATCATCACCCCAACCGCCAACTCTTGGACTACTCTTTTACCAACGAATAGTGGGATTGACCGTCACATTATAACGCCCCCACGGCTGAAAGGGCGAGCATGTTTGGTGTAACGGGGATTCGAACCCACGATCTACAGATTGCGAGTCGGGCGCCTTAACCACCTGGCCATGCTGGGCCCTATCAGGAAAACTGGCAGCAAAAGTTTCTTACTTATAACCTATTCGGACAAAAATTACACAGCCCCTCCGAAAAATCCCCCGTAAGCCTATGCTAACCTATATTACCTTTAGGATTGCAACCCTATTATTTGGAACAGACCTATACTTTACAGAACCAACCAGATTCTTTGAAATATATGGTGGTAGTTTTTCCTCTCTAAAACAGTGTTAATAACTTCCTTTATAGTAACGCTACGGAATTTAAATTAACAGTTTTTTGTCATCGCCGCATACAGCCTATCAAGCATCATTATTTACGCTAATTGCTTAAGCTAATATCACGTGATTCTAAACGCCCTTTAATTAGGATAATTTCATAAAAGTTAGCAAATGTGTGCTTAAAACTTGTCAAGGAATAATGAATAATAACCGTTCAAGTATAGTTCTTTTGAAAACTTAAGATAGAAACTGATGATCTAGTTTGCTTGGCCTAACCAATACTTATGTATCTTCAAGTCCTTTCACCCTATAGTTTGTTGCTCTAAATCAGACGTTTTTAAACCGAATGATAAAATACTGGAAACGTCCCACTTTTACTCTTAGGTGAAGCTGTAATAAAAATTTCAGATCGATAGCTCACGTGACGTTTTGCGTAGGCGTGCGTAAATCTTTTGTTCAAATTTAAGCAGTTTTTGTTGAATAACTTTGCACATGTAGCTTATATTCAGACCAAATTTAACAACTAATTGTAGGCTGTAAAGATCGATCAATATACCAAATTTGAAAAAGAAATCCTTAAAAGATAAGTATGTTTTTCTATCAAATAATATTTACGTACTTTCGGCGCGAAAAAAAAAGGACAAAATTTAATAAAAATTTAAGATTTTATATCTCGTGTATTTCTTAATGTATTGCCTTGAAATTTGGTATGTGAAGCCAGAATCCAGTAGAGCATATCAACTGAAAGTATGTAATAGTTTGGATTACCACTGTCCGAGCTACAAAAAGTAAAAAATCCCTAAACTATCACTCCTGTTAATAACACACAGTGTGCTCTGCAAGTTGTTTTGGCTGCACGATACACTATCGTGTGTCTTGATTTCCAATTAGGGCTGGCAATTAGAATTAATATTAATATAGATTCACTATGTTTCAGAGCAGCTAGGTTTGATGATAAAAGGCTAGTTCAACCTAACTCTGATGGCACAGGTGTTATTGTCATTTTGATTGAACTCGTCTAGTATTTCTTTCTGACACGTATTACCAGTATTGCTAGTTATCGTATGCTTCTAGACATAAGTAAATAAAAACATTTTGGGATATGTGCTCCCAAAGATATGAATCATAAAAACATTACCGTAGGAAGCAATTTTGGAGTGGTCAGATCATTGCCACAGCTAAACAATGTAACACACGATGTGTGAAAAGCATGTTATGAGATTCAATTTTGAGCCATTTTAACTACAAATAGTACGTATGCACAACGTATGTATTGAATTAAAGAAAATAAGTCTTAAATCATAAGATGCAACTATACATGCCATGAAAAAGTGGTCAGGCCATGGCCTGACTGGTCTTACTGCTTCCTAAGGCCTTGAAAAAGTTATATATAAAGCATAATATTTGATTTTTAAATTAAATATGGATATATAACTATTTTGTATCAGCTCGGTTAACATTACAGTAGAACACAGTCATAATAATAACAAATGTAAAATTTATTACAAAACTAGGCCAAAAATGAGTGATATTAAAACACTCCATTAGAAGTTATTTCAAGAGCAAAGAAAAATACCTACCCCAGCTGGGACCTTGTAACCATTAAGAATAATGTCTTGTGATAAAATTCGGGTCAAGAAGGGTGCAACTGGAAATAACCTGTAGAAAAGAAAGCGCTCGGTTACTAAAGTAAGAAAGAAAACTTCACAATGCTAATTAATTTCAACAGATGGAGCCACAAGGTTTAACTTTATATGAAATCTACCTGCTATAAATTGTAACAAAAGTCTTGCTTCATGCTATACCTCATAAAAAATTTCATAAGTTAATAGACGACATTAAACAAAACATTAAAACCATTATGACCATAAACATAAGTTATCGATTACTGACGATATTTTTATTCTCACATTACTTATTAATGTTAGATCTAAGTACTCCTCATGTTAAATTTATGATTATTTTTCTTTAAGCCATACCACGCTGATACACTAAAATGTGCATGAAATTTCACATTTAAGTTAACATTAGAAATAAGTTTAGTTCTCCTAAAGTTTGTTTGTAATTAAGCACAAATCTACACAATGGGCTATCTGTGC